AATATAGCTTTTATTAGTTTGCATCTAATAGCAAAAAATCTTTTGAAATAATTATTAATTAAAAATTTTATTCTTTTTACATGACAGAATTTTTATTTTTATTAAGTTATATAATTTATATATAAATTAAATTTTATAGCAACATTTTTATTATTTAAATCATGATTATTCAATTTAGAGCTAGCAGGGCTTGAAAAACTATATACGTCAATTATGGCAGTTAATATGAAAAAACTATTTCAAAATCTTGGAAAGAAATTTTATGGCTGTTGATTGGTATTTTGGATTTATGCTAAGAAATCATAATCTCTCCTTATGATCTTTATTTTTATATATCCAAAATGTTTATTAAATTAACCAAAATTTAATTTCACTTTTTATATATAATTCATCAATTTAAAAATATTATGATATTTTGGACAATAAAATAATAAAATGATTTATACGTATCATTATTAATAAATAAAAATGCATTTCAATTCTCTTATAAAGTATAGTTATAGGTATCGATTCATATATTGTTCTATATATTATCTAAAAACATACAGGAGTTATATCCAATTTTGCAAAATCGATTCAACTAGCACCAGTTTCCCCTACTTGCTTCATTTTAAATATATTTCAATCCATTTAGAAATTACCTTCAGTTGAACATTCCTTGAGTTGAGTGATTATCATATACCAGTGTTAGATATAACAAAGTCCCAAAACATTCGAAACTAAATTATGCGTTTGATATAATCAGCTAGGATGGAAATAAATGAACAACACTTCTGCGATTCACCTCATATTATTATGTAAAATTAATTTTTAAGCCCCTGCTCGGTCCAAAATTTTTATGTATTTAATGCCAAGGCCCGACCCGAAATTTAATTTGAATAAATTTCCCGCATTTTAAATAAAATAAATATCCCTAATTTGCTTTGTCCTAATCCGAAATCAATTTTAATTATCATTTTATTTTTAAATGAATGAAAAAGAAAACAACAACATCCTTTTCTATTTTATGTTCAAAAATATTTTCAAAATTTTGGACCTATTTACGGGGAATATAACTCAGGGAATAGAAAACTAAATTCATTTCCACATAGGGAATTTATTTATGCATTACTGTTTGCATTTTTAAAAAAATTTTAATCAATTAATTTCAGGTAAATTATTATATGTGAAAAAAAGATTTAAGTCAAAATATAAATAAGTCATTAGGGCGACCAAGACCAGATGCATTCATTATTTTTAACATGAATGTCAGAAAGAAATGTCAAATTTTGCTTAGCTAGATAATTTCCCAATGTAAGGGAGACCAGGAATCGTTGGGACACTTTCCACTTAAACTTGAATAAATTCAATAATATTAGACTAATAAATAAAATATCTTTTGAATCATAAAGGTAAAGGCTATTTAAATTAATTATTTTATAAAAACTTTTCTTGATTTAGAAAATCCATATAATATAAATCAAATTCTAATACCGAAAAATTCGTTTTAGTAATAGATACAAGGAATATATACTCAGGGAGGCCAAAGTAGCCTAGTTTTTTTAAAATTATATTTATATTTTTTTACCTACAAAATATATTTTAAAAAAATTAATAATTGTACACGAGATAGATTTAAGAATCAATATATCTAAACATTTATGTTTACTTTTGAAATGTGATATAATAATGTTGAATAGAAGGATAGCAGAATCCATGAGAACCCGTAGTTGAAGATGACAAAATTAGCCCTGCAATTCATATACCTTCGATAATATTTTAAGCCAATTAAAAAAATAATAATCTAAATTATAAGCAGTATATTGAATCAGTAAAAATATAAAATTTATTATTTTATAACAACATAGAATTCCTTATCATCTATCTATAACTATATATTTTTATGTTTTTAATGAAAACAAATATTTTTTTTTGATCAATGATCAATTTTTAGAAATCTTTCTAATGAATAATGGTAATTCATTGTCAAAGTTAACTACTACACTTATTATTCTTCTTCTTTTTATAAAGGGGAAAAATTTTATATAATATATATTATTAATAATAAATAATATTATATAATTATTATTTTTAAAAATAATCACAAATATAATGTCTAATGTTAAATAAGAATCTTATAGTGAATAGTGATAGATAATAGTAAAAATTATGTTGTGTTTGCAATGAATTAACCTATATAATATTCAAAATATAAATATTAATTTATGAGAAAATATGACAATATTATTTTTTCCAATAAAAAAAATTAAATATTTAACACGGCTTTCTTTTTGTAGGCTTTAAATATATTTATATTAAATACTAAATTATAATATATAATATAACCAGCTTATAACATTTTCCCGAACCAGTCTAAAACGCTTTCCCACTTCCAGCAGTTATTCCCAAATACTTTATATAATAATTAATATGGGGGAAACCAGGGCTAGTTGAGCCGTGGGACGTATCTATTTATTTGATCCCATTTATAAATTAAAGGCATTAGGATAATTAAAGTTGTTTTATTTGGTTTATTTTGTGATACAAAATTACCAAATTTCATGAGATGTTATTTAAAAAATGGAAAAGACCCAAGTATTTTTTTTATATAAACTAAATGTTTATTAAATTGTAAAAATTATGATTCAATTATTTTATAAATTTTTTGGCTAAATTTTATGGTATATTAAAATTATTCTATCAGTAGTATATTTCAAGATATAAAAGGATAGACTATTTTAAAAAAAGTGGTTGGTCAACCTCTATTTCCCTTACTAATAACTCTGGAACTTAAAAATATTTTTTAGACAGAAAATTAATTCCATAAATATTTTTGAAACTCCTTGTACTCTTCTTAATTACCCTGCCCATCTCTACACTTTTAGCTTTTCTTAAATTATATTTAATCATTTTTTTAAGAAAAAATTGTTATTATTATATTTAAAAAAATTCACAATTTTATTTATTTCTTATTTTATAATTATTTTTTTTTGAATTCGTTTTAAAATATAAAAAGATATATTATATTAAGGATAAATATGAATCTAGGGAAGGATTAAAAATTAAGGAATACAATTTTATAATTAATTACCTTAAAAATTAAAATAAAGATTCTATTTAAAATATAATAATTTTTTAGATCACTATTTATTTTGTCCAAAAATACTTTAATAGTTTCAAAGTATCATGGTTAACTATTTCTAGAATATATTTAGAAAAACTATTTTCATTCTTTTACAATATAGATGTTATTGCGATGTAAAAATTGAAATATTAAATCGCGAGAAATTGATTTGATTACAATATAATTTTTCTGCCAAAAATAAGATTGGTTGTTTTTTTATTCCAAGTGTAATTCCTTTTCAAAAATTGACATCTGTTCTATTTTATGCACTAATAAATGATTTATACGGAAGACAGCAATCGCTCTACCTACTCCTAAAATGGGGACATATCGATAATTAAAAACAATGTTTTTTTCTTTAAAAGGTTATGTTTTATCAGTTTCAGGATATTATTATATAAAATTCTTCAATAGACCTTGGGTTACACAGGCACTTCAAGTTTTATAACAATAACTATTTCAATCGTTCAAAATCATTAAAATCCATATTTTATAAAACAAGAATGCTTCCTTTTAGAAAATGTTTTCATAAATTTGTTATATTTATATTGATTTTACTTCTTTCTTTATGCGTGACCCTAACATTGTTCTCTTTGATTTGAGATATTTATAAAAAAAATTTTGACCATTGAAAAAAAATGCATTTTTATTTCTAATAAATGGAAAACTCCTATGTTCTTATTTTACCAATAATTTATTAGCTACAGTCTAACGAGGGAAAAAAAACTTTTTTGGAAATCAATCAATAGTTAAAATTGTATATTATTCTTAACCAATAAATTTTAATTGTCTAAATTTTTTATGATTATTAATATTAGGTCTATTCAAAGATGAATACAAATTTAATGATTTAAACATTAGCAATTTGATAATTTAAAAAGAAAAATTATTATGGTAATCTGGATGTATACGTGTGATCAAATTATTAACGAAATTAAATCGCATAATAATTTAATTTTTTAAAATGCCAAGCCAATTTTTAAGACAAAGTTTTTTTTTTAAATTGTCTTTAGAACATTTTTTGACAGCATAGGTCCCATCCGCATAACAACTATTTTGTTATGGGGAAGGGGGCATTAGGTTTTTTTTATCATAAATTTTAATGGAGGTCTTTAGGTACACAAACTGTAGGCCATTGAACTATATTAGATTTTTATTTTAGAATTATAGTCGTTAAAGTTATATTAATGAGTCATTAACCTTTACTAATTTTTATTTAAAATTCTTGTTAATAGTGATATATTGTACCCATTCAGGCAAAAATCGGAAAGCCTTGGCTAAGCTGACCCCATCTAATAAGAGTCTTTACCAAGAAGTTGATGATTGATAGGTTATCAATAGAAATGAAAAATGATTAAATTTTATTAAAAACTTATTTATTATTATTCCGAATAATTCGAACAATCTATCAAATTATTCAAATAATTAGATTCAAATAACTAGATTCAAATAAAACGAATTATTCAAATAATTTGTTTTACTTGGCTCTATTTAAGCAAAACGCATAATTTACTAGTCATATTTATTAATATCCACTTCAATTCAAATATTCGAAATGAATCTATGCGATTTGTTTTTGAATACCCCGTCCTAGTATTAGTCATGAAAATCCTCACTGAATTTAAGAATTAATCTTATTTTGACCTAAATTAGTTAAAAGTGTTGGTAACACTTAGAGATGTACTAATATCTAAATTTGACGAGTAAATTCGTAACAAATTTTATTTGCGCTAGGAAGAAGTAATAATTCTTGTAGAAACTTTTAATTATATAATATTATTTTATTAACAATATGTCTAGTTTGTAAAATTGACCCGAATATCTCGAATATAGAAATCAACATCTCCTGGCTTTACCCTTTATTTAACGAGTTGGCACGTCTAGATCGTAATAAAACCTGTTCGCAGAGCCAGGCTTTAGGGTTGGGCATTTATAGATATAATTAATCATTCACTTGTGATCATTGTTATCAAACTTTACAAACTGAATGTGAATTGTTTGATAATTCTCAATATAAATAAAAACTAAATCATTATGCTGACACATTATTAAAGAATGAATAGTACTTTAATTAATTTAATTAATCAATTTTTTTATTTTAAAAGAGAAGATGATAATTGATTACATATTACATAAATTTGCAAAAAAAAAGAAGAGATAATATTTAAAAAAAAAAAAAAATAAGTTTCCTTAGATTATATGCAATGTTTTATTTTTATAAGATTTTAATCTTTGACCTTCTTATTACGTTTATAATTAAATTTATGTTATTACTGCTAGTATTTATAAATAATGTTTGTATGAAAATATGAATTTACGGAATTGAAATCAAAGATGAGCAGATCCGGTCTGTAGCGCGGCTTATCTGGTGCTTACCATAAAAGGGCAAAATTCTAAAAATCCGTGTCGAGATAAAAACCGGGTCAGTTCGGATTAATTAAAAGAATTAAAATTTTATGAATATATTAGAAATTAGTTAAAAATGTCGGATTCATTTACTATTCAAATTTTTAATTCTCCTGAAAATAAATACAAAATACGGCCAAATTTTCTTTGAAATAACGAAAATTTACTTGATAAATTTTTAAAAATTTGGGCCGAGCTTAAAATCTGACCAGAGGTTTTAAAATAGCTATTTTTATATCCGGATCGTAAAATTCCCAACTCTAAAGATCTCTGATTCAATCCAAAAACCTCATCCCTAACCCCTGAACACAAACAAAAAATCTTATTTTGGCGCACAATTATAACCAATTTTATTTAAAAACAATTCATATAATAATAAAGGCATTTTTAATAAGATTCAGAGAACAAATTATATTTAGGCTGCCTCCAAAAATTTTATTTAAAAAAATAATAATTTGTAATTAAAATTTCGATATCGAGTTTGGTCGCATAATGTATAAATATGAGAATCATTATATTTAAAAAAAAAATTGACTTTGGACACATCCTTCGAGATCGCTCCAATATAGAATACAATTATTTTATACACAAGCTATTAACTGACAGAAATTTTTTCCTTGTTTTTTTATGACAGAATAAAGTTTACAAATTTATTTTTACCTTTAAAAAACGATTTTTTAAAATTGCAAATATCTGCCCTCATTGAAGGAGCAAATATTATTGCTTTAAACTCAAAAAATGACGAATAAGTAAAGCAACAAAAAATATAATATAATCCAAACTCCAATCTCCTGATCCTAAACTTATATCTCTAACCTTAATATTCATATATCTCTAATATATATATTTGGTTTTTTAAAATTTTGATATTTATTTGGTTTGACTCTTCAGTCATTATCGTTTGAAACTAAAAATAACCCCCTCCCTAACCCCCCCCCCTTTTCCCCCTTTTCAGCTGGCATGATTTACTGAATTTAAATATTGATTAAAAAATTTAGTCATTTTTTTGCTTCTTATTTAATAATTATCTGAGAAAAAAAAATGTCAAGCTAACTTCTTTAAAATATTTAAAAATAATAATAACACTATCAATATAAAAGTTAGAAGTATTCTAAAAAATTTTTTTTAAATATTTTGTTGTGGTTATATACCGTATGTTTATAATAAATATTATTATTAATTAGTATATGTTATAGTAATTAATGATTTTTTTAAAAAAAATTATTCTCCTATGCTTTTAATGTACATAATGATTATTAACTTTAAAAGGATATAGCAAAAATTTGGCTAAATTTCGCATATAATCTATATTATAAAAGTCCTAAATTTTGTTAAAAAAAGCATTCATTCGAATTATATATTTATACTATAAGCCCAAAATGGATGAAAGACGTTCGATCAAAGTAATAAATTTAAAAAAATTTACGTCAATATTTTTTTTAAGTATCTATAGGGTAATGGATTCCATGAGTAATTGGAATATTTCAATTTTAAATCATTTATTGAGGACGATTTTTATTGTAGAAATTTTGCCGAAATATATCCCGGCATGTGAATTTTGCCATGAACTTTTAAACTATTATTAATTTATGTTAATTTATATAGATTTTTCATATGAATTTAAAAAATAATTAAGTTCATGACGAAAATTGTTATAAATTTCCTAAGGATATGATTTAATATATTTCGGGTCAGCAGTTTTTTTCAAATGTTAAAATCGCCTTAAATAAATTTAAAATTGAGAGTTCCCCTTGGATTCCATATCCCAATATATAGGTTTGAATTGGGATATGGAATTCATCGGGATTAGGAATCTATCAATTAAATCTGAAAAAAATCTTATTTGTTCGAAAATCCTTATAAACCATGTACAGAATACCCACACTTTGATTCAAACAAATTTGCCCGTAGCTGTTGAAATACTTTGATTCGTATCCTTTTTTATATAGATTTTTTAAATATAAATTGAACAATACATGAAGGTCTATTAGGAAAATTGCCTGGCTAGTATAGGGCAATTAGTTCTAAAACATGCTAGAATACTTTTCAGTTAAATCCGATTGTTTAAATTTGAAAATCGCCCTCAATAAATAATGAAAATGTGATGGATTCCAAATTCCAATACGACATATATATATATTTCTTTTCAACAATGGGGAGATGGGCAGGTGAACCTTTTAAGTTGGGTAAGTAGGGCTTATGAAAAAATATTTGAATTAATTATTTACTCATTTAAATTTACAAAAAATTAAAATTAAATTAAAAATTAGAAGAAAATTGATTAATTTAGGACAAACGGAGTCATTTTTCTAAAATTTATAAAACACATGATCCACGCATCTATCATGTGATATTTTTGAATAAGGACACAGTTATATCCGAAATTAATCAATTTTATTACGAAATATAACTTATTATCTAGGTATATATAAAGAATATATTTAAAAACAAGATAACTAAAATAAAAATACAACTAATATTAACCAACAAATCAAATTATTTTTAAACAATGGGCGGCACATAACATTTTTATACCAATGGAATGGTAGGAAGACAAATTCTTTTAAAATAATGTAGGTTACAATCTAACAATAAGTGGACATGGGTTAAAACCTGCCCATTGCAGACCTCAATATCAGATCTCCTAAATGTTAATCTTTATCAAGTAAATTCAACATAAAACACTTAAGTATTGTTTCAATATTGAATTGACCCCTAAATTTTTTGGACCATTAAAGAAGGGTTAAATGCACTAATTACATCTAAATTTACTATAAGCTTGCTAAGAACAATATATATATATATATAATTTGAGTAACCTAGATAATTCGACTTTATTTGGGCATAATATTTGAATATTATCGTAAATTAAGCCTATAATCATAAAAAAAAGTTTGAAAAGTTGGAAGTGTTGAAGAATGGTATCAACCCAGTTACGAATAATATGATGTCCAAGCGATTAAGTTCCAAAACGATAGCAAGAAAAAGTATCGACTTGATGACACTTAAAAACGAATTGGAAATGGTTTTTTTAAACTTTTATATACCTTTATATATTTGATAAAATATTTTTATCTAAAGTGCTAAAATATTTTAAGGTGAAAATTATGTTATAAGTCTCAGTTCCGAATCTGGATAATTTGCTTTACACAAAATCAAGACATTAATTTGTAGTCCTATCCAAAAAATAGCAACCTAATTTTTATATCTTTTAAAGTTGCATTTTCAATTAGAAATTATTGCCAATTGTGATAACCACTCTTAGCTCATAGGCGATATCAAAAACTGATTACTTTTAATTTATAAAAACTTTCTTATTTGTGATCACTGAGACTTTGTTGTAAATAAAGAATATAATAAATAATATAGTAACCACAGTAATAACGCTTGTGTAATATAAGTGGCCAGCTATAATACCAGCTAGGATATTATATTAAATATTAAAAGTCATGACTTAATAAATAATATATGTTCGCGTCAATGTGTTATTATTTCAATTTTGATCATTTTTTAAACGATTTTTTTTAATTAAAAAAACCAGTTATCAGGAAATGTATTCCAGCATGTTCGGAGTACCTATTCTATGAATTTCAGACAATTTTGGGCTATTGCAAAATGGTCGGAAATTCATAAGCTTAGTCCTCTAACATGATGGAGTACATTTCGAGAATCGAATTTTTAAAAATTAAAATATACTCTCAAAAATTTCTTATAAGTTGAAAAGAAAATAACCCATTGATGGGAAAAATACATCGACACGAACATATATATACATCAATCTGCTACACTTAGAGGATAATCAAGATAAATTTTTGGAATCTAAAATTTCTTTCTTATGTTATCTTCTCTCATCCCATTGAATCAAGTTCGTAAAATTTCAAAAAATATTTATAACAAACGGTTTTTCAGGTTTTCGTCAGTATTTTATTTGCAAAAAATATTATAAATAAACTTTAATTTTCTAGACCTATAAATCGAAATACTAAAATAATCCGATGTATAGTCTAAAGGAATAGGAAATATTTAACAATTTTCAAACATCTAACAATTTCTAGGGTTGTGTTGCATTTATAATTAAATTTACCATTTCGTTTTGAATATTTTTCCTTCTTAAAGAAATATTCTGCTCCAATCAGGTGTATATGTATAAATATTTTCCTTAACATAAAAGATAGTGCAAAATGTTTTTGTGGTTGATATTAATTATTTTAAAAATATAAATCAAATTTTAATAATAATTTTTATTTTAAAATGGCGCTCCTTTTTGGTTGACGCTCATCGCAGACTGCCTACTTGTGTAAATGAGAGGCATCCCTGATAAGACCCACCCACCCATCCATAATTAAATATCTAATTTTGATGTGGAATTAAATGGTTGATTTGAATTATTTATTTTTATTAAATCGTTTCTCAAAATTAATTATATAAAAGGATGAACATATAATATCTTTAGAGGATCTATGCTCACGTTTGCAAAGCAACACGAAACGGGTAAATGATAATATGATCTTTATTAAATTTTAAAAGTATATATAATAATGAGTGCCATAGCTGGAAGTATTCACCTAGGGGGTACTGGGTCTTTTATCAAAATTCATTATTTCATTCATATTCTTTCTATTATCTTGTTCTCTAAAGTAAATTTTATTTATGCCAAATCCCATTATATACGTCAATCGTGAATATATAATAACCATGATAATATAATCCAAATAAATTATAATATAAAATATATGAAATATAATAATTTCTTATACAGTATTTATCACATTTCTCCACACTTAAGATTTTAAAACTCCTCAATCAGACGATGTATAGGTTTCCTCGATCGTAGATATTTCTGTCTCACTGTTGTTTCTAGTTCTCGAGGTAATGAAGACATATCCGTTGGACCCACATTTTCATCAGTCTTTTCGTTTCACCGTTTTCTCCCTCGGTCATTCTATATTTTTCAAATTTTTAATTATTTCATACTCCATATTTTCTTCCTCTCTCCCTACCTTCTCCATTTCTTTCGCTATATACCATTTTTGCAGTTGGTCAACATACTTTCGCATCGTTCTATCTTTACTTTCTACCGAATAGAAATATCTGCCAGTTCTGGATTTTACAGGTTGTGAAACTTCGAATTCCCTCATTTGAATGTGTTCACCATGAGCTGCCTTGTGTCGCATATTAAATCGTTCCATCTTATCCTTAACATTTGAATGTAACCAATTTAATCCAGATTTTAGGTTACGCCCCAACAATAGTTTTGCCGATGAACGTCCAGATGATTGATGCTTGCCAATTCTGTGTGCTGTTAAAACTCCTCCCATAGCTTTCTCTGGCCCCTTAATATCTTTTATAGTGGCAATTATCGACTCTTAAGTGTTCATATTGTTCTTTCAGCGAATCCATATCTTTTGGGATGGTAAGGTGTTGAATGTATTAATTTAATCTTTTTCTTTAAACAAAATTTTCGAATTCTTCAGAAATAAACTGAAAGACATTATTTGACACAATTCTTGGCATTCCAAAATGTGAGAACTATTTCCTTAGCGCCATGATCATTGTTTTAGACGTGGTCCCTCTCATCAACTCAATCTCCCCATTTAGAATGTGTATCAACTCCAACTAACCATGAATACGAATCAATAGGCCCGCGAAATCCAGATGAATGCGTTCCAATGCCGAGAGATTGTCCACGAATATGAAGTAGACCACCAATATTGCATTCTAAAAATTAATTTCATAGCATTTATTCCTGGATGATCCCTGTGTATGATAGTTAATATTGATTTTCTCAACACGGTTGAAATTACCAACTTTCCATTCCATTCAATAACATCTCGATCTACTGACAATTCCTACCGCCGATTATTAAAACAAACTAGCTCTGCATCATTTTTCACATCAAACCCCATCCATCCTTCCTCGATGCTTTTAATTACTTTATTTAACAATCTATATTTCCTTGTTTCTTTCTGGAGTTCAGCTTGACCAAGATTTATATCGAGCAAATTTATAGCTCAAATTTTTAATGCATTCTGATCGTTATTCGACTCTATATTACCTGGAAGTCTAGATAATGTATCAGCCATTATGTCTCTTTTCCTGGATAATATTCAATTTTGAAATCATATACGGACATTTGCCATACCCAGTGCGTTAATTTTATTACCAAATATATAGGTAATCATTTTTAAAAGGTTCGGGAATAAGAATCTTAGAAAAATATGATGTATTGCGCATGCAATATATCATATTAAAATGAAAATAAATGACTGAATTGAGTTATTATAAGCTTTATCACAGTAATATTTATTCTTTTTAATTCACTTAAAAGGAAAAAACAAGTTTGTAAAATTTTCATTTGGAGGGGGGGGGGAGCAAAAATATCGGCTTTATTTACAGTTTAATAACAATATTTATTATACAAAAAAATCGCTTATAACTAGTGCTGTAAAGTAACGTCTAAAAAGTAACGTCGTTACCTTTTGAAGAAAAGGAACGCCATTCGTTAGAGGTAACGAGTAACGGTAACGCGTTTCATTCTTTTAGCAACTGTAACGCAAAACGTTACTCTAAATTTTCTTTTAAAAAATATTATAAAAAGAAAAACATATTTCATTGTACTATAAAATTACTTTTATTTATTTTTTAGTATAAATAATTTAAGCTGAGTGTTTAATTCACATCAACCATCATTCCTTCATTTTTATTATGAATTCTCGTTGCTAAATTTTCAGTTGAATGTTAATCTAATTAATATTCAATCAAAATTTAAAGTAAATGTTAGTAATAATATTATTCTATTTTATAATTTGTTTTAAGAATATTATATCCATAGTACTTACTTCTTCACATAAAGATGATTTAACTCTTCTGTGGCCCCAATTTTAAACATATTTTACCCCAATAAATAAAATTAAGGGTACAAAGTCTATACGTAAATGTAAATTATGTCCCAACGCAAATATTTCAACCTCAATGTCCAGCAGTTCAAATTAAAAAAGCATACGAAGGTGATGAATTAATATATTATTATTTTAAACATTACTTTAATAATATAATATTAAATCATGGGTATTATAAAATAACCATTAAAAAAAGTATTCTTTCATAATATTCTGAAAAGCTTAATCATGAAATTAAAATATAAGCAATTAAACATCGCTATATAAATTGGATTGGCCCTAATTAGAGGTCAACAGAGAAAGAATGCTTGAACTTATTTCCAGTGTGAGAAAAGATCTTTATAAAGAAGGAGCAGACTTAATTCATTTATCCAACACACATACCAGAATATTTTCTGATAAAGATTAATTTTTTGAGAGAAAATGAATGAAGATCCTTAAGATGATTTATTAAGCTTTTTTCAAAATTAAGATAATTCTTTATATATTTTTAATAAATTCCCCTAATTAAAATTTTAGTTCATTAAATATAATATAACTATCCCATCCTCTGCGCCAATTGAACATGTGTTTAGCACGGCGAAAGCTGTATTGAGCAATAAGCGCTCTTGTTTGTCTGATCAAAATTTTGAAAATCAATTGCTGCTAAAAATAAATAAAAAATTGTTATAAAAAGATGTTATATTATATATATTATTTATATTATATTTATATATATGAAAATTTTTTTTATAAAATGATCTTATCTTATTATATAATCTTTTTGTATAATTTTATTTAAATATTGTAGAAAAAAATTAATATTTTTTTTGTATATAATATTTAATTTTTTAAGTAACGAGTAACCCGTTACTTTTTTGAATAATCAGTAACGCACGTTCCTTTTTTAAAAGATAACGAGCAACGATAACGCGTTCCTTTTTCAGACGTAACGAGTAACGGCAACGCGTTTATTTTTTGTAGTAACGTTTACAGCACTACTTATAACATTTAAAATTTATACCAATATTTTTCATCAAACAAAGGGTTTGAGTTCGATTCAAGCTGCTTCTATATTAGCAAGGGATGGTCCTAATTCCTTGACACCCCCAAAAAAGGAATCTGAATGGCTGAAGTTAAGTAAACAATTATTCGGAGGGTTTTGTGGATTATTGTGGGCAGGAGCTATCCTCTGTTTTATAGCATATTTTATACAAACTCAAACCTACACAAATTTTACCAAAGATAATGTATTACACACTAAATTTTATTAGCTAACTTATTTGCCATTTTTTAAATTTTGTAGCTTTATTTAGGTATAGTTTTGATGCTAGTGGTATTAATCACAGGTTGCTTTTCTTATTACCAAGAAGCTAAAAGTGCAAGAATTATGGAATCTTTTGCAAAAATGATCCCTTTGGTATATGACTTAAATAGATATTTATTTTCAATCCTATATAAATGAAAGTTCGCGCATGTATTTAGAGATGGCGAGAAAATTGATGTAAAATCAGAAGAGCTAGTTTTGGGAGATTTGATCGAGGTGACTTATGGAGATATTGTTCCAGCAGATATCAGAATAATCAAATGCAGAAGTTTTAAAGTTTAAATTTAAATCAAATCGAATATAATTATGCCTTCATTTTTTTGTTGATTTCAAGGTAGATAATTCTTCATTGACGGGAGAATCCGAGCCACAGTCCAGGAATGCCGAAACTATTCCATCTCTACCCCTGGAAGCCAAAAATATTGCATTTTTTTCAACAAATGCTGTTGAAGGTATTTTTTACCGATTTCCTATATAATAATCTAATGGTAATTATAAGTAAAAAAAAATATTTTTTTAAAGCGTATGAAGTAAAGCATTTAAAAATAGAGCAACAAGCTAATAATTTTTTTAAAAAACCAAGAAATTATTTAGATAAGCAATCCTAGTGTTCTTGAAAAGTTTAAATAAATCAAATGTTATCAGAATAATTGCTACATAAAAATATAATTATATACTTAAATAGAAGTGAAAAACTGTAATGCGACATTTACAGAATAAAAATTGAGGTTGATGTTCTGATTCATCTTTTATAATAAATATATCCAATATTTTATATTACAAGGTAATGCTACTGGAATTGTAATAGCCACTGGGGATAGAACTGTAATGGGTAAGATAGCTAATCTTGTTTCAAACATAGATATGAATTCAACACCTTTGCACAGAGAAATTGACAGATTTATTTTGCTGATAACCGCGGTAGCTCTCTTTTTGGGGATTTCATTTTTCTTTATCGCCATTTTCAATGGATACACTTGGTTGGACTCTGTAATATTTTTGATCGGAATTATCGTAGCTAATGTCCCAGAAGGGCTTTTGGCCACTGTAACGGTATATCTCTTTTCAAGAATATATAAGATTTTTTCAGTTTAATATAGATAGTATATATCTGATCTGATTTCAATAAATATTTATTTAGATTGAGGGCCTAGAAATTCTTTACACACGATTAAAATATTGATATTTTTATAAGGTGTGTGAAAATTAACAAATTTTTTGCATGATCTGGATTTTACTGCTAAAATGTTTAATATTTTTTAAAAATATAAAAAATATATAGTTTGGTTCTTTCAGAAACTCTTATTATGAGAGCATAAAATACGTAAATAACATTTTTTATATTTTTTTCTTATTCAATTCGAACATCATAGAAAATATTTTTATAAAAATGTCATTGCCTTTATTTTTAGCATTGGTTTCGAACAAATTCTCATTTAAAACTTTTATTAAAATTATTTTAGCAAATAAATTTATTTAGAATTTTTTAAAATAATTTCATATATTTTCCATTGATTTTTATTGAATAAATTATAAGTTTAGTGTAAAAAATTATAAATTATATTTTTTAATAAATGTTCGTTTTAAATGAAAAGTTGTTCGAAAAAATGGTAAAAATAAGGGGGTAGTAAAATTTGTTTAATATTATTACTCTATGTTGGAAATGAAGAAGAACAAAATATTAAAAATGTTGTTTCGTATTTTGTGCTCTCATAATAAGATTTCTGCTCGAAAACAACGGCAAACACGGTAAATATCAAAAAAAAATTTAATATATTTTATAGAAAAAAATTTGTAATTGATTTAATTTTGCAATAAAAAATTTTAAATTGAATATAAAATAATTTCGTCCAACTTATTTAGATTTTTATGAAATAGAGTTAATAAGATAAGATCAGATCAAAATAATTTAGCGTTCCAGGACTCATCGGAAATATCAATAATCAAATATTCGAAATTGACATTTTAATTTTTCAATTATTATGTAAATTAGGGTCTAAATAATATAAATAAGAAACATTTAAAAGTTTAGAAACATTGGTATTCTTACTTACTGTTATTACTAGAAATGGGCCAAAACATTGGTACTGAAACCCTGCAAACTCTTAAAAAATTGGCAAAAGCTAATTTGGTCCGGCTGGTGCTAAATTTTTATTTTATTTTTAGGTCTGAACCCAAAATCTTTAAATGAGAAATATTAATTAAGTAAATTTTTATAAAGTTTAATATTTTTTAGCTAATTTTCTTTCTTCAGGTTAAACTTTGTACTCACCTACGACTTTAGTTTACCTTCTCCATCACTAGATATGAACACTTAGCTTTAATATGATTTCCCTCCAAGTACCTATTCTTATATAAAAAAAATTAACTACCTCAATTAGTCAAAAACTTTTCACAAATTTTACATTAATCAAAAGGAATCAGCTAAAATTTATTTGATTCAATGGCTGAATTTGCTATATAATTTATAAACAGAAAGATAATTTTTTTCTATACCATTTATTTTAAATTGCATTTATAGGTATGTTTGACCATAACTGCCAAACGTATGGCACATAAAAATTGTCTGGTTAAAAATTTAGAAGCAGTTGAAACATTAGGGTCAACCTCAACTATATGTACGGATAAAACAGGCACCCTCACTCAAAATCGAATGACTGTTGCTCATCTGTGGTATGATGATCAAGATATTAAAAAAGTCGAGACTTCTGGAACATCTCCATGTAATTCATTAAATTGTAAATGATTACCATTTTAGGGATATTAACATTTATTTTTCCTTGGATATCATAGTAACCTTTGAATGGCAAGACAAGTAAAATTCCACTAATGATTAGATGATATGATGTCCATTTCAAATTTTTAAAGACTCTAATCACATTCATTAGGCGAATGGCGCCGACCAGCACACATTTCAGAATTCATTCATACTTGAATTTATATATCTTTATATTTTTAATAAAAATAACTTATGATCATTAACTATATTGGGTATACCGTATTTTTTTTTATTAATATCCATTTACAGGCTAACTCAATTTTAAATTTCAATGTTCAAAAGCAAAAATATTAATGAAAATAAGCAAAAATAAAAAAAATTTTTTATTTAAATATTGGCACAAATTTAATTTTAAAACATAATAAAAAAATATATTTTAAATTATTTTAGTCGAATTTGGGTTAATTAATTTGTGACAATTTTAATATCTCAGACACACATATATCAGTCAAGGATCTATCGTATAATTCTTTTTTTTGAATAAATGAATTTAATTGTTATGAGTACAACCAGATGGTAATGTTTATTTATTATGTTAATCAAGGCTCAAAACTTGATTGCACAAACCAAACATTTTTGGCTTTAACCCGAGTTGCCAGCTTCTGTAACCGAGCTGTTTTTAAGCCTAATCAATTTGGTCCTATTCTGCAAAGGTTCTAATATTCATTTTTTTATAAACTAAGTAATTTCGTTTTTAGAGAATGCACTGGAGACGCTTCTGAATCTGCCTTGTTAAAATTTGTTGAAATGACTTTCGGAGCTATTGATATAAGTAGAGAAATAAATAGAAAAGTGGCGGAAATTCCATTTAATTCAACAAATAAATATCAAGTAATTTCGCGGAAGATATAATTGATTTTATTTTAAAAAAATTAAGTTATATTAAATATTTTAGGTATCCATTCACGATATCAAAGGAGACAATCGTTATTTGTTAGTGATGAAAGGTGCGCCTGAAAAAATTTTAGACTCTTGCAAAACTATTATGATTAACGGCGAAGATGTAGAATTGAAGGCTGAGATAATAGAAAATTTTAACAAAGCATACTCATTGTTAGGAGGTAGGGGGGAAAGAGTTTTGGGTTTCTGCGACATGTGGTTAGACCCTAATGTTTATAGTAAATCGGGGCCAGAAAAATTTGAATTCAATTCTGAGGATCCTAACTTTCCACTAAAGGGACTAAGGTTTTTGGGACTTGTATCAATGATCGATCCTCCACGACCAACCGTTCCTGATGCAGTAGCTAAATGTAGGGACGCGGGTATTAAAGTTGTGATGATAACAGGTGATCATCCTATCACAGCCAAAGCTATCGCCAAAATTGTCGGTATAATAAGTGAAGGTAGTGAAATTACCGACGTTACCTCGAAAGACAATATGCTAAACGTTCCCGTTGGTCCGTGAGTTATTTATAACATTTCTATAATTTGAGTAAAATTGATAGAAATAATTTCTTAGCTGGGCTCTTATTTATGTTTTAAATAGTTAGTGAAAACCTCTATTTAACTCTTTTTAAAAAAGTACCTAAATCAAGACTTTTGCCCAAAAATATATTGCCTAAGCCTCGAGAATTTCGCATATAGATAACAGAAAGGGTTGACTTTAGCCAAATTTTGAGGTCTAACTAATATTTTTTATTTGGCTAAAATCATGATTTCATAGTGCTGTAAACATTTCTAAAAAAATCGAACGCGTTCTCGTTCAACGTTCAATGACAAAAATCGAACGGGTTAACGTTCATTTTCAGAAAAAAAGGAACGCGTTCACGTTCGTTCAAAATTTTTTTTTTAAATTTAATTTAATAATGTCTTATATTTTTTAACACAATATATTAGCCATGTTAAAAAATAATATAGTTTTATTTTGATAATATAATTATAAATACAATATAATATAGCGAATAAAAAGATATTTTTATTTATAAAAAAAATTTCTTATTAAATTTTAATAACAATTGTTTTTCAAAATTTTTATGATATACAGGAACACTTGGCAGTTAATACGGCATTAGCTATACTAAAAACGCGCTCTACTGGGGAAGGTGAGGGGATTGCGGTATTATACTTAATAAACATAACGTGAATAATTAATTAGAAACATTTATTGTTTTCTCCTTTGCTTCATAAAATTGAAATAAGTTATCCTCCTCCAATCTATCCTTTACTTACTCGTCAAAAAAAAGGATATCTCGAAATTAACAGTTCTTGCATTATCATTTCGAGGGTTTTCAATGCATTTTTTCAATAACGCTATAAGTTTATTTTTATAGGTTCTTTCTGTTGAAGTCTTATCCATGGCCACTGGAGCTTGAATATTGGATGTATAATTGCGGAAAGAACATATTGATCTTCATATATATGTTTAAATCTTTAAAAAAATAAAATATATGTAATTAATTTGATAATGATAGGTTTAATATTTTTAATTGATCCCATTGAATAATGAGTCTATCAATAGTTGACCATAATTTAGGCCACTAATTTTTTAATTTGCAATAACTATCATTATTGTTGGGGTCAAATAACTTTAAATGCATTTTTCTTCAAATTTAATGATTTTATTTAGTTTTATATAAAACAAAATAATTAATATTATAAATCAAATGTCGTTTTAAATTGTAATTGAAGATTTTGAAACTGATTTAATACTTTCATTTTACATTTGGTAAGTATTGAATTAGTTCCTTCAATATAGGATATTACTGTAAAATATTTATCAGAGGCCATGGTAATGTTAATTCAAATTTTCAGAATAAGATAATGATGATGAAATAATAATATCCATGCTTATGCTAATCTATAAAATTAAAATATAAACAATAGTATTCAAAAATTAATAAACTATAATAATGATGTGTTAAAAAAATTGAAATGTGAAAAGGAAAAACAATTGATTATAAAATATAAGACTCTTTTCTAAAAAAATTCGGATTAATATTAAATTTTTCAAATAAATAAAAATAAAAGATATTTTAAAAATTGAACGAACGTTAAATTCGAACGCGTTCGTCATAAAAAAGGAATGCGTTCAAGTTCAAAGTTCGTCAAAAATAAAAAAACGCCGTTCACCTTCACCATTTTTTTCAAAAAATGAACGCGTTCGTTTACAACACTATTTCATCGTTTTTTAAAAGGCCAAAATCAAGGTTTTCAAGAACTATTTAAACATTTTATTTGCCTTTTGCTGGATGTTATTTTAAATACCTATATATCCTGTATAAAACATACACTAGTTTAATTAAGGGAAAACTGTTATTAAAAAATGACAAGATTTATTTAGAAAATCCAGCTAGTTTTAAGTAAACGTAAAAAATTAAATTTTTTTATCATGGACGAATTAAGTATTTATGATATTCTAGATTAGGATTCTCCTTTAAAAAAAATTGGAATAAAAACGCACATGATGCATTATTTGAATTTATAAGGGGATCCAAGGCATGTGTCATTCATGGGAACATATTAAGGGATATGAGTGAAGAGGACATCGATTCTTTCATTATAACTTTCGATGAGATTGTATTTGCACGTACATCCCCCCAACAGAAATTGAAGATCGTCGAGGGGTTTCAACGGCAAGGAGCTATAGTTGCCGTGACGGGGGATGGAGTTAATGACTCACCTGCTTTGAGAAAAGCGGATATAGGTTGGTTAATTGATTCATGTTATTGTTGTTTTTAAAAAAATGAAAGATACAAAAATAATTATATCTCACATAAAAATTATTTAATAAAAACCAATTTCACCATACTGGGAAACAAAAGTGTTAAATTTTAATTAACCCTTTAAAGCTCGACTTTTTAAAATAAAACTAAAAAAATTTTTTTATAAAAAATCTCCATTTATATACACCAAGGATGTAAAATTTTTATTTCGACTATTATTTCATAGTAAACAGGTAAAAAAAAAATCATGATACAATTTGGCATCATTGAGCGAAATGCATGTATATAAAAAAAACATTTATATATTATAAAAAATTTATTTCCTAGTTATAGCATAAATTTTTACACACATAGTCCTTAAATATGCGATAACAATAATTTACACCTCTTTGGAGTCTTAGAAACTTCTGGCCAATGCCCTAAATTATCATATCTAACGTCATTTATTATCTGGGGTAACTTAGACCCTTTTTGTATTTTTATTTGATGGTCTCCCTATTTTTTTTTTACTAATTTTACCTGCCATTAACAAGGAACGAACTATTTGAGATTTAAATGTTATAAGTTTTATAAAAAATTTTATTTTTTTGAAGTAATATATGGTGTTGGAATATTATTTGGGGGATTAGAAATTTTTTTAGAAAATGTTGTATCAAATGATTCAATATTTTTTAATACCCAATTACTACTGAGATTAGGAAAACTAAGACCTTCATGAACATTATCAAGTTCTATGTGGAGTACATTTATGGGCAAATCTATATTCTATATTGTCAATAGGATGATTAAAATTATCCTCACTATTATCAATATCTGTTTCCGAAATATCACCTTCAATTATAATTATTTTATTTGATCTATAAAAAATAAAATTTATTCAATGTTAATAAAATAACTTATTAAATTCCCAATGAGTTAATTTGGCATCATAATTTTAAAATATTTGAATATTTTGTCTTCTTTATAAAATAAACAGTTTTCAAAATTTTTAAATTTAAATATATTTAAATAGTATGTAAAATCAGTAATTCAGAAAAAATCGAAACGGAAATATAGTCAAAATTTACATGATAATAAAATAAAAACAAAAGCATATTTTTTTTATTATTGATAAAATACGATTGAATACATTTGTATATTTATTTTAAAATGTTAAATTAAATCATTGAGTGGTTTTAAACGTTAAAAAATAAAATTCAATATGATGATGTCAAATTAGCTCACAGTCACAGGACTTAAGGGTTAAATATTTTAATAAATAAATGAAATACAGGAATTGCAATGGGAATAGCGGGGAGCGATGTCAGCAAACAAGCTGCAGATATGATACTTTTGGATGATAATTTTGCATCTATAGTAATAGGAGTTGAAGAGGGTTTGATTAATTTTGTTTTAAAATAATTTTAATTTATCTTATATAGGGAGGATCATATTCGACAATTTAAAAAAATCCATAGCTTACACCCTGACTAGCAATATACCTGAAATAGCTCCTTTCTTATTTTATATACTGATAAATATACCTCTGCCCCTTGGAACGGTAGCCATACTCTGCATAGATTTGGGGACGGATATGGTAATATAAGATCAATTTATTTCATTCTTAAAAGTAGTTATAAGGTCCCCGCAATATCTTTGGCCTACGAGAAAGCAGAATCTGACATAATGAAAAGGAAACCCAGAAATGCTAAAAAGGACAAATTGGTTAACGAAAGGTTTTTCCTCTTCTTCATACATTCCTTTATCTTAATTAATCATAAATATAGACTTATAGGCGTTGCATATGGACAAGTCGGGGTGATTCAAGCCGCAGCAGGGTTCTTTACTTATATTATAATTATGGGAGAAAATGGTTTTAGGCCTTACGATTTATTAGGACTTAGAACTTCGTGGGAAAGTGCAGCTTACAATGATTTACCTGATTCTTATGGACAAGAATGGGTAAGAAATTTGATGATTCATCTAAAATCAATTTAACATTATTTAAATATAAGACATACGCCGACAGAAAAAGACTTGAATACACAACTTATACAGCATTTTTCGTTACAATCGTTGTAGTGCAATGGGCAGACTTGATTATTTGTAAAACAAGAAGACTTTCTATTATTCATCAAGGAATGGGGTTTTTTAAAGCTTTTTTTTACACCTAGCTAAAAATTCTCCCATTTGAATCTGTTATATTTTTTTAATCATTAATTTCAGAAATTGGGTGCTAAATTTTGGACTAGTATTCGAAACTTGTATTGCCGCAGGGTTATGTTATATCCCAGGAACTGACGTATGGCTAAGAATGTATCCTTTAAAGTAAATCGCCTTTCATTCTTTCTTTCTGAATAATCTTATAAGAATTAAATAAAATTAAGAATTCTTCATATGGAAGTATTTTATTTCAATATAAGAGACATTCGACTTTCATTTTTTTTAAAAAAAATATAATTAATTAAATCAATGATATGTTAATTGTTATTATGGAATTTGGGCAGATTTAAACATAACATTTATAAACCCTTTAAGAATAAAATTAAAAAAATAAAATTGAAATGATTAGATTTATATGGTGGCTGCCTGGTTTACCGTTTAGTTTATTAATTTTTGTGTACGATGAAGCCCGACGATATACATTGAGAAATAATCCTGGTTGTTACATAGAAAAAGAGACTTACTATTAAATAATCCATTCCTATCATAATATATAGATACTATGATAATAATGATAATTTTATATGTATCGTTTATAAATTTATATGAAAAATCATCAGAATGTAAATGCATTTGCAATGTATTATTCCAAAGTCCCATAATAATAGCAAAACATTTAATAAAACATTTACGAATATATAAAAAAATCATAATATCGAAATATTATGCAATATAATATTTTGAATTTAAAACATGGTTAATAGATTTGTAATGTATTTTTATTCCAAATTCCCGTAATAATAGTAATAATAAAGAATAGTTGTTTGTTTTTTTAGAATATTTAAAGGTAAAGTAATTATGAATATATAAAAAAAAATAGTAATTTGAAAAAAGTAAATATGTAAAATATTAAATACAAATTTAATTTTGAATTTAAAATACAGTTTTAATAATTGCTGTTTAAATCGATATTATTTTATGGGGAAAAGGATATTTAGCGAGTTAATGCCTGAAAACTATTATATTAATTTTTTATAATTATGGATATATTGATAAAATAAATTTGCGAGTTAATGCCTGAAAACTATTATATTAATTTTTTATAATTATGGATATATTGATAAAATAAATTTGGCATGGCAAGATATTAAATGTCTGTAAAAATTTATACGGTAATTCAAAAAAAATATTATGAGCAAGTAATTGTTACTATAAATAATATATGAAAAATAAAAAGTAATATTGCCTTTAACCCCTATTAACAACAGAAATATCATATACAGTATAAACCAGGACGAAAAATTATGTAAATGATAAGATTTCTGGGACCCGAATAAATCAACAAGTAACGAACTTATAAGTGTGCATTTATATTTATAATTTTTTCATATAAAAAAATAAATTATAAATGTATTGTTTTTTTTTCCATTTACATTTTTTTAAGCTTTATAAGTTGATTCCTTTCTGGCGACAAAATTAAGCAAATCTATACTGGTAACTAGTCCAGTTATATTTTGCTTAACATCGTGGGCATTCATACCTTTAACGTTTAAATCAAGTTTTTCCAACTTAACAACGGTATGATTTGCCAGGGACTGGTACCCATTATTAGTCGAAGCATATATGCAAGCAAAATGATCTTTCTCCAAAATTTTTGACAGTTCGTAAAGATTGGTGTCCATGTGAATCTATTTTTTTTTAAATTAATTGAAAAATACACAAATCATATATTTCGTGTGTTGTACATTTACAATCATATCTCCTGGTAAATCATAACAAGATTAAGGTAATAAGGTTAGCTATTTAATTAGTGGTTTTAAGTGATGGCTATATATTTCTCATAAAATATATTTTTGTCTATTACTATGCCAATTATTAATAAAAATGAATGAATAAAAATTAATAAAAAATTTTATACGAACCTTTTTAAATTGTGTGTAAGCTATTTTAGAAACAGGGCTCTCGAGAGTAATTTTGTTAGCCAAAATGGCGGACATTATAGACCCAATAGTTATTATTCCTATGATTTCACTGGTAAAAAAAAATAATTAAATTCTAAAATTATACAAATATTAAAAAATGCCTTAATATTATTATAAAATAATTTAACTAATTTATTTTTGTAAAGAATGAATATGTTCCCATTGTATTTTTATTGTTTTTAATTCTGTCATGTAAATTCCCTTCTTTGCCTAGTGACACTTTTAAGCCTAGTCACTCAACGTAGTCGTAATATCCTCCTTAAATATTAAGAGTAATCCCTCCTTCTTAAATTATAAGTATGCGAAATTGCTGTTACTTTATTTTTTAAAAAAGAAAGGTTATGGGTTTTTAATATTTTGTAGAGAATCTTGCTCAGTAGTGGCGTTGGAATGCCAGTATAGATATAATGATATTGCAAGAAAATTATTTATTTAAACAGTAAGTAATAAGTTTTTATATGCATAGTAAAATCAAATCTTTTTATATAAAATAGATGTGCTTGGCTATAATTTAAAGTTTTCAATTTTAATCGTTAATATATCGTATAAAGAATGTAATTTTATATCAAATAATATATAAAAATAAAAAAGCAATATAATATAGCTGCAAAAAATAATGTATATTGATAATTAAAAAAACATTTATTCTTTAAATTTTGACTTTGCAAAATATTTAATTTATATGTAAACAACTAACAAAATTATATATTACTAAAAATTTAACAAGAATATAGAGAAATTATAGAAACAAGTCATAGTGTTATTGGAAAACCAACTTTCGCTCAAATTGACTAAGTTTAGTTTTTAAGCAAAAAAATAAATAGGCTGAGCCTAAAAAGTGGCGAAATATAATTAAGCTCTGACATAAACCTAATTAGGTTTTTTGAAAAAGTTCAGCTAAAGTTAATAAATCAAAATTAAATTATAATGATTTTATAATTAGGGAATGTCCAAAATGGTCTTTTTTAAAAAATACTTTTGGAGAAATATTGTAAATTTTAAATAGAATAAATATAGTGCAAAAGTAAGGAATAAATATAATGTAAAAGTAAGTCATTTTTTTTACTTTTGTAAATTTTAAATAGAAAGTTAATAAATATTGTGATAAGACCAATGTCCTTAATAAATGATTATTTTTTTTAAAAAAATAAAATTTTTGTTTATATATTGTTTTTAAAAATAAATTGAATAAATATTGTGAAAGGTTACTAAATATAAGTGTAAAAGGTTACCAATGTCCGAAATATTCATTTTTTAAAAAAAATTGAATTTTAATACAATAAAAATTTATGGGTAATAAAATTAATTTTTGACATAAATAATATATAATTTAAATATGAGTAAAATAAATATATCAGGGATCTAGAACGAACCTTTCAACTGGTATTAATGTGTAATCTACTAAACTAAAATCTGAACCATTAAAAATTTTGTCACGCAAATCTGAGCCGAGCCAAGCCTCTAAAATGGTCTGTGAACTGGGTTGAATCTTTGAATAGTCTTCCTTTTTAACGATTATAATCAATATTTTAATTGATGATTATTAGTCGCTCTCCCAAAATCCTACCAGCCTAATCATGGCGGGAATAACGTCTTTTAGCGGCTAATAGAGGTTCAAAAGGTTCCCTGTAATCTGGGTCTAGAATAGGATCACCATCTTTTTGACAGGGTGTTAAAACCACCTAAAGGGGTTGATGTCAGGAAGGGTATTCGATTATAAAAACCTTGCTCCGAAATTTCCTAATGATTACAACAAAGCATGGCAGGGGTACAGCCCAAAGTACCCTGTAGGGCTCCTCATCCGCCTACGACAAAAAAAAAGGACGGGAAACTTGGTGGAACCCCGATTAGAGAAAATGAAACATATGACGGCCATAAACGACCTAAAAATGAGCGGATAAACCATTTTACGGGGGATAGAATAAGAGTTGCGACATGGAATGTTGGGAGCGAGAAGTGGTAGATGCACTGCATAGAAAATATATATAGATTATGTTGCATACAAGAGACCAGATGGAAAGGTATGGCAGTTAAGTTTTTCGGGCAAGGAAGTAATGATGGTTAATTTTTGGTAGGAAGCTATGCAATATTTTTCAGCATATGTTCTTCAGGTTGGAAGAAGTGAAGAGAAAGATACATTTTGGGACAGTCTATGGAAATGGTATTGAGACTGGCAAATGAAGAGGGGATTATCCTGGCTGGTGATCTGAATGGACATGTGGAAGCGAGTAGTGAGGGTTATGAGGGAGTACATGGATGATATAGTTACGACATGAGAAATCCGGAAGGGGAGATAATTTTGGATTTTGGTGATGATATGGATATGATTGTTTGTAATACAATGTTTAAGAAAATATCAGAGAAGTTAGTGACTTACAAGTGGGTAGTGCTAAAAGTGCGATGGATTATTTGTTAGTAAGGAGGTGGGATAGAAGCATAGTAAAAAAATGTGAAAATGATATCGGAGAGGAATGTATTAATCAGCACTGACTAGTTATAGGAGATTTCAAAAGACGCCAGGATCACTAAAAGAAAGTTTGTGCCAAGGCTGAAGGTTTAGGAATTGAAGGATGAGAGTGCTATACGTCAATTCAATATAACATTGGCGATAAGAGAGATAGAGGTGGCCGAAGCAATTGGGATAAATAACAAGTGGGAAACCACGATGAAAGCCTGAGCGAGGACAACTATGGAGGTATGTGAATGGAAAAAAGGGCCGTCTAGATCAAAGGAGATATAGTGGAGGAATTCATAGCGAAAACTGTGGACGAGAAAAGAAGGCGATTCAAAAGTGATAACGAATTTACAAGGTGGCGAAAAGAAATGCCAAAAAATTAATAGCGAAAGCGCAGAATAAAAACAGGAGTTTGTTTAAGAAATGTAATGCGCGAATGCGAAATATGGAACGGATAGCAAAAAAGAGGCAAGTTGTGGTAGGTGTTAATGTTTATAAAATATGGAAGGAAAAATGGTGATTGATAATAGTGATATTAGGAACACATAGTGGATCTATATGGAAGGACTTTTGAACAAAGAGAATGAATGGGATAATGATGTTAGTTGTGCAAAGGTAGAAGGTTCAGTAATAAATTTGGCAAGGATGAAATTAAGAGAGGCTTGAAAAAAGATGAAAAAAGGGAAGGCAACGTGTTCGAGAGTGATATCAGAAATGTTTAAATGTTCTGATGACTTAGGGATTGAATGGTTAATGAATTTAGCCAATGTAATTGACACAGAAGGAACTATTCCCTAGGAATGGAGAAGTATAATTATTTCAGGGTATACAAGGGGAAAGGTGATCCTTTAAATTGTGGGTCTTATAGATCTATTAAAATCTTGGAACATGCAATGAAAATATTTGAGAGAGTGCTAGATAAGCGAATAAGGGAACAAACGAAAATTGGTGAATGCGGTTTTACACCGGGGAGCGACAGATGCAATTTTTGTAGTGAGACAAATACAGGAGAAGAATCTTGCAAAGGCAAAGAAACTTTATTATGCGTTTGCTGATATGGGCATTTGACAGGGTGCCGCGCGAGGTTACTAGACAGGCCTTGAAAAAAGCAGGTGTGGAAGAATGGTTAGTTATGGCAGTGATGGCAATGTATTTGGGAGCACAAACTGTGGTAAGGATGGATAATGGAGATGGTAAAAGCTTTGAAGTGAAGGTAGGATTTCATCAAATTCGTGCTGAGTTCATTATTATTTATCTCAGTAATGGATGTGGTGGCTAAAGAAATTCCCTGGGAGCTATTATATGCAGATGATTTTGAATTAATGGCAAACAGTGAGGAAGAATTAAGGATAATTAGTTAATGTAAGATAGCTCTGGACGCAAAGGGCCTGAAAATAAATGCAGTAAAAACAAAGTTGATGATTGGTGTGGATAATCTGAAGATGGAGGAATTCGGCACCTGGCCTTGTGGTGTATGTGAAAAAGGAGTTCAAGAAATTTAATTTAATGCACCAGATGCCAGAAATGGGTGCATAAACGATGTAGCATAGAAAAAGGAAGTCTAATGTTAGAAAGAATGACCTTTATTTGTTGAACGTACATATAAGGGATACATAATACTGATAACGTAGCAAATGGTAGTTTGGATATTGGCAATGGGTTAACTCTGAGAAAAGTGGAAAGGTTTTGCCATCTGGGTGATATGCTAAACGCAAATGGTGGTGTAGATTCTGATTGTTGCAAGGGTCAGACAAGTATAGAAGAATTTCAGAGAGATGCCGTCTATTCTAACAAATAAAAATGACTATCTTAAATTAAAGGGGAAAGTTTACATAAGCTGTGCGAGAAGTTGTTCAGTCTATGGCGAGGAAAGATGGGTAATGGAAGCGGTCCACGAAGCCAAATAGAACAGAGATGAGGATGTAGATGGATGTGTGGGATATGTCTGAGAGAGAGAAAAACTAGCAAGGAATATCGAACAAGAATGGGTATAGAAGTGATTGGAGTGTTAATGCGAAGAAATAGACTAAGATGGTTTGGACATGTGGAATAAGACGAAATATGACTGGGTAAAAAGATGCATATTGATGGAAGTAGGAGAATCAAGACATAGAGGAAGGTTCAAGATGACGTGGATAAAGGTGATAGCGGCGGATATAATGAATCTTACAAATATTGATGCTCCAGGACCATAAAAATAAAAATCAGAAGGAAAACTGAGCAAACCTGGAAATTGACATTAAACGAGATTAAGATAATTATTAGTCATTTATATATTCTTTTTTGTATATTATTTTAACAAAATCAAATACCCAATTTGTGTAAAAATTTTTTTACCCTAACTAATATTCTTATTTTTTATGATATTTATTTGAGCCAAAAATAAATTTTTAAAAGACCATTTTGGATATTAAATCTCATTTAAAACCCTAATTAGATATGTAAAATTTTTTGAAAAACTTAATTATGTTTAGCGACTGCTAAATTTGCAAGCATTGTACTGTGAGGATAGATAACTTTAAAAAAATACAAACAAAAATTTCAAAAAATAATTGGATGTGGGTTAAGGCCATTATGATATAATTTTTACCGTATTTAAATTAACGAAATGTGTTAATTATTCGTAAAATATAAAAATAACAATTATAATGAGTAAAATTTGTATAAACAGGAATACTAAGTGAAATGAACGGTTAATCTTTATACAATTAATATTAATCGATTCAAGCCATTATTATATTGCCTAAATTTATAAACATTATAGTTTGGTAAAAATTTATTTAGAGTTTAGTTTGTACTTATGCCTAAGCAAATCTTAAAAATAATATTTTTTATAGATTTAAATGATATTTTACAATTTTTTAGTTAAATATAATTATTTCAATCTAAAAAGAAATTTCAAACCAGTAATTAATATTTAAATTGTTTTAAAAACCGTAACAGACCAGTAACATTTACAATTTATAACTCTTCATGCCGTAAATTAATTTTACACAACAGCCGATCCCTGGTATAAACAAATAAATAAAAGTTCAGATACAACAAAATATTAACTAAATCATATTATCATTTACGGTCTAGTATTCATTTATCGTTTTGGTTCAAAGTATAAATTTCTTATAAAATGTACCTATTATGCCTAAATCCACTTCAAGCTCACATCACATGGTCATTTAAATTTTTATAACATATTTGACTTAACTATAATTCTTTGTTGATAAATAAATCTTAGGCTTATTACATATATAAAAAATAAGCAAATTATGAAGGAACATAAACATAAACATCAATAACTTGGAATTAGAACCGGATCCAAATATAGGCAACTGATCAAAACCTTTTATTTTCATCAGATCTATAGCCTCCTTGCAAGTGGAATTAGCATCTATGGAGGTTGGATTGGATATGACAAGAGATGAGACTGGCAAATTGTGCCACCTATCGTGAAACAAATGATTTTATTAAATTATTTAAATATAATGTTCCATTCTTTCCATTTTGCCATAAATGATAAATTCATCTAGGACCAGTAGTGAAATTTAATATTTTTATTTATAAGGGGGGTATGGGGAGGGGGGGGGGGTCGAGAAGGTAATCATCTATCAATAAATAACACATAAGTTCTAAAGGGTAATAATAAAAATATTAGTATAAATCATGAATTTAAAGAAAAAACTAGGCAATATTCTAGTATAGTAAAGAATTAGCAATCATATTAAATTTCCAACAAATTATATAATTTTGTAATTATAAGGAGATCGGTGAATTACCAAATTTTAGATTTTTGCTGGGAAAGATTTGGGTCTTGCATAAAACCTCGTTCAATCATCCAATTATCATCCAGAAATTTAGTGCTTTTGTAAAAATGAATATTAAATATTTAAATTTATATAAAAGAATAGTGAATAATATTCCCAAAATTCTTAGCACCAATAATTTATAATTCCGAATCGAAAAATTTAGCAGATCAATAAATATTAGAATATTAAGAAGTTCCTAATTTTTTTTAAAAAAGGTATACTCATTTACAAAAAAAAATGTAATATAAAATTATGTCAAATATTTTTTTAAAATTCAGATGAATTAGCAAAACAATATAATTTAATAACTAATGTTGTTTAGGGGTTTAACAATACACTTTGGGGGGGGGGCGATTCGATCCTATATTAGATTTATATCCTTTGCATTCTGTAACATAGACGATTTTAAAAAACGGCTAACTCAAAATTTTATCCAAAAAAATATTAAGCAGGCCTGAAGATTTTGCTCATCTATTCGCGAAATCTCGAAGCTTAGGCATATTTTTCTGGCTAAAATATTGAATTAGCCGTTTTAAATGGGCTCAAATGAAGCGATTTTGCATTACTACACGCCTACTACTCATCTCGTATACTTTTTAATAGTATAATATTTATAATTTAACTATATCATAAAATAAGTCATTTAAATATATTATAATGATCAGTATAAAATATTTTTATTGATAAATCACTTATTTATATATTAACATTGATCTATTTAAATAATAAGTAATAAACAAATATATTATAAAATTTAAAATAAAATATAAAAATTAAGATGCCATTTTATCGGAATGAATCGGAATTTTATAATTTTCACCGATAGCTGATATTTTAAAAAGTAAATTATCGGCCCGATCCGATCTGATAAAAAATAATGGTACATCCCTAATGTTGTAAACTCCATTCAGCCGATTTTAAATGATAAAAATAATACTCAAGCCTCGTAATTTTGTTAATAAATGTCCAAATCTTTTTTGCCATCTAGCAAAAACTCCAGTGCGTATTGGCGATAATATTGGGTTAACCGCTTTTAAAAATTGAGCTGTGTAACACCAATTATAAATATATATTTAGATAGTATTTTAAACAAATTTAATACATATAGTTCCTTAAAGAGTCAGGTAAAATAACAACTATTCGGTGGTGCGGTTTATCGAAACTAAAATCTTTGGCTGCTTGTATTGCACAGTACATAGCTGATCCGCAACTTCCGCCTTAGCAAAAAGATATGGATTGGTATATAAATGTTGTGCGAGTTTTTTTTTATATAAAATTCCATATATTTTTGTTAATTATTACAAAAAATACTAATGAAATTTAATTATATTCTGTAAGAAAATTGGCAAGAATAAAATTTAATTAACTACCAGCTGATTATATAAATAAATAAAATTTAACTCCGTTTCAACGTAAATTTCGATATATAGCAAAATAAAAGATTAATATTCGTAATAGTAAAATATAATTATGATAAAATGGGATGATTTAGGTTAGGGTGTAACCCGTAATTATAAATAAAAATGTAGCCATTTTGGATTTAAAGTTATATTATATATATTTTAAAAAAAGTATTTTAATGATTTTTTTTACCACATAAGAGTCCTTCCTCTCTTATCAATTTTCGCGCCATGATAAATGATGGCTTGTCTTCGGACTTATACCATTTATCCACCAGCTTTATTTAAAAATTTGAGTAGCGATTTGAATATATAATGAAAGTTAGACATAATTAAATGGCGTTAGTTATTCAATAGTTCTTCCATTGAGTATATATTTTTTGAGGATGCCTAAAAACTTGACTTATTTTAGTGCATCCAACATATAGCTAGCAGTGCCAGCTGGACTTATAAGACTTCTATTTGCAATTTTGAAACCTCTATTTTAAATTATAATTGCCGTTATATTATATCAGTTAATGTAATAATTTCTTGTCTTATTTAATATAAAAATCATGTTTTAAAAATGTACCGATCTATCTAATACATTAGGAATAAAATCGTAACCAATCCCTTCAACTTCATAATATGAGGAATCACATTTATTGAGCGATTCTGGCAATGCTAGGATAGAACCTTTAGGATCAACCCCAATCACCTAAATATATTATTTAGTTTAAATATAAATCAGTACTAGTTTGTCATGTATATATGAGAAAATTAATAATGTTTTGGCAATGATGATTTCCAGTAATTTGCTGCCATCGCTCAAAAATTGGATAAGGAAAAATTTGAGGCAACACTTTTTATAACATCTGATGTTGCAAAATAAAGGAAGATTCAAACAGTGGAGATAAAATAATTAAATATAGTGCATAAGGTCACAATATTCTCTTTCAGATCTTGAGAATGGTGACATTTATGATGAAAGAAAAATTGGTTTGCAACAAAATTGAGTAATGCAATGATTTCTTTAATTCTATATCATTAAATTCCATTCGAATATTTTATATTATATCCAAAAATAGGACTCATCATGAAAGGATTATAATACCTATGTTATTTAAATAAATAAATAATATATTATATTTTTTTCCAGGGCTGGCCCAAGAAATTTTTTTACCCCCCCCCCTCCCTTTTCAATTACACTCCTATTTAGTAATACATTGCCAATATCCATGAAAATTTCTTTCTAATTTAGCTTTTCCTAATATTGTAATATATTTTGTTTCTTTATATATTATAATATAAAAAAAATAAATTAAAAAAACAATGACTTTGTATTTATCAAATTTAATCCAAAATAAAAAAAATTAGAAACAAGCTAGAACCTAAACCTGACACAAAAGCCATAAAATTTATTAATCCAAACTAGGCTTATTTAATTATGTATAAATTAATCAGGAAAATCATATAGATGGTTATTATCAGAGACCTGCAGGCCCAGCCAAACCAGTATACACGGGTCGGGCCATATTTTAAAATTTTTAAAATATACTTGGGCCAAGCTGGGCTTAAGATTAATAAAACCGGGACAGGCCAGGTTGTAAAATTTTTTTTAAAAATTTATACATCATGAATTATTATATTCCTCATTTAGATATGGTTATAATGATTATATAATTTACTTTCATTTTTATAAATATTAGTTTAATTTTTATAAATGCAATATATAATATAATATATTCTCAGAATTTTATTTACTTCCATTTTTTTTATAAATATTAGTTTTATTTTTTTTATAAATACAAAATAATATAGTATATTCTTAAAATATTATTTACTTCCATTTTAATAAATATCAGTTTTATTTTTTTATAAATACAATTAATAGAGTATATTCTCAAAATATTATTTACATAAATTTTTTATAGTATCAATTTATAATATACTAAATATCTATTTAGAATAAAAAAAGATAAAATATGTAATATGCTTGCTTATCAATACTTGATGAAAAATATAATAAAATATGGAATAGGTGAATTTTTTGTATATACCAGGTCAAATATAATTTAAATAAAAAATCTGGGCTTGGCCAGACCTAAAATTTTTAAACCTGGGCTGGGCTTAAATGAAAATTTTTTTTAAAAAAAAATTTGGCCCAGCCCAGGCCATGCAAATGGTACCTTTGCAGGTCTTTGGTTAGCTTCATTTTACACTTTAGATAATTTGATTTAATTATTATTGACAAAATTCAAAGAAATAAGAATTGCAATATTTCCCAAGATTTTAAAAAATTTTTTACTCAGCCTAGAAGAAAATTTTGTACAAATTGTTTGGCCCATCCTAATAATTTTTTTTATCTAGAAAAATTACATTGCTTAATTCTGCTTTAAAAAATTTGGTCAGCCCATAAAAATATTTTACACAAATTTCCCAATTTACTGGCTATGTTTTTATGATAAACGTTGCGAACCTTTTTAGGTCGCTCCAAAGTATGACTGATTGGACATTTTGTCTTGAACATATATAAAACAAAATAATTTGCTCAAGTTACCTAGTTGGTTGTTGCAGTATATCTTTAGGAAAATGATTTTAAAGACTCACAGAAGCACTTATAAAAAGTCTGGTCAACCAGAATTTTTAAAATGGGGTTATTTTGAATAATTTTGGCTGTATATTTTGAAAGCTGGTCATACAGAAAATTATATATCTACTGGTGAGCTGTTGTCAATTTTTAAGTGACACAAAATGTATAAATAGGCAATTTGTTGCAATAATTTTAATTATGCAAATTTTTATTGATGAATAAATTTTTGTAAAACACTAATTTACTTTCATATAAAAAACATTATTTATTGCTAATAAAATAATATAGAACATAAATAAATACTTTGCAATTTGGTAAAACTTCTTTTATTTTTTTAGCTACACCAGCTATAGTTCCACCCGTTCCTGCCCCTATTACTATCATATCTAATTTACCTAAATATATTTAAACACAAAACTAAAGTAGTATCTAGGATTTAAAAATACCTTCACATTGTTCAATAATTTCTTGAGCAGTGCCCTCATAATGAGCCAAAGGGTTTGATGGATTATTATACTTTTATATATCAATATTAAATCTAATATATGAATACAATACTTGGTCTAATATTATGGCATTTGGAATTTCTTTGCATAATCTTTTTGCAACACCAATATGACTTTCTGGTGAATCCCAACTTGCAGCAGTTGGTGTTCTAACAATTTCTGCACCTAACGCTTTTAAAACTGCAACCTAATTAAAAATAATCATTAAAAAAAATTATTATTTACTTTTTCATTGCTCATTTTTTCAGGCATGACAATTATACAACGGTATCCTTTCACAGCAGCCCCCAATGCCAATCCAATACCTAATAAGTCTATAATTAAATTTTAAATAATTATGAAAACCAGTATTTCCTGATGTTGGCTCAATAATAATTGAGACACCTGGAATCAATGTTCCATTTTCTTCTGCATCTTCTATCATTCTGCGGCCAATTCTATCTTTGACACTACCACCAGCATTAAAAAATTCACATTTTGCAACTATTAAAATATTTATCATTTTAAATCATAATTATGCTCACATATTTCTGAATCTAGATTGCATTCTTTGCCTATTTTATTAATTCTTACTAAAGGTGTATTACCGATATTTACTAAAATATTTTTAGATATTTTAGGCGAAATAATTTGATAAGAAGGATTAACCATTGGCGTTTCACCGGAATATTGATAAAAATAATTTATCAACTGTTTTTAGAAATACTATGGGCCACTTTCCAAAAATGATAGTTAACATTGATAAATCACGTGATATTGACAAGAAAGCTTTGTATTCTTTTTTATTTTATATTAATTATGTTTGTAAGATGATTTTTAATTCCAATTTATTTTCAAAATAATTTTTTATAACATAAACTTTAATTTAAAAATTTATTGTGTATTTAGGAATAGCAAATATGAACCTTTTGATTGGATTAAAAAGAAACCTATTTGGCGATTTATTAGGCCTAATAAACCTATATAATATAAATATATTATTTTATAAATGAATTTAAAGCTAACATTCAAAAAATATTAATAAATATTCCAGGTTATAATTAATCATATTTTATTGTTAATAAAATTGAAGAGAGAAGAACTCCTAGCAATTTTGCAATCAACAATATCGAGCTTTCATAATACTCTTAAAAATCTAGTTTTGATTGCACACCCAAAACATCTGCCAGTGAAAGCTCAACAGCAAAGTCTGACATGGTTATAACTATTTTCATTATGGTACTGGCGATGACAGGATAAGGATTTTAAACGCTTTTATAAGTACATCCAACACTTCCAAGGAGAACAGGCCGAGTTTTTTTGGAGGGTGGAATTTTAAAGTGATCGACTTTTTGTTTATCTATTGATTTTTCTTTCTTTTATATTCTTAATATATTTTATATTAAAGTTCAAAATTTGTATTTTTTGTTAAACGATTTAAAGTTATTTTTATTATTTCAAAATTTACTTTTACCTTAGATTATCAGTGGCGTCGCTAGGGAGGGGCGCAGGGGCTCGAGCCCTCTGAAAAGTTTGAATAGCCTCCTGAAGCAAACAATTTTATTTAATGGCTCCTTAAAATCCCCTCGAGCTAAAAATAAATGTTTTTAATTGCCCTCTGAATAACTTCATTATAATTCTATTGAGTAATATACGGATTTAATTTTATTAAAAAATTAATAAGACAATCTATATTTTTATTAAATGAATACTATTTTAATTATTAGATAAGATTATTACATATAAATTACACTATGTCAGCTTGCAATCAAATTCTATGTTAAAAATATAACAATATCACTCACTAAATATTAATTTAGCCTTAACAGTTGAAGCTTAATTGACTTTTATAATTTAAATTATTATATAACCCTAATTAAATAAATATAATCATTTATTAATTAAAAAAATGATTTAATATTTTAGCCGAGTTCAAAATCACTAATCAACTATATTACTGATTTTTAAATTTAATTGTCATGTCTCTTCCTAAAATTATTTTCAAGGTCCAAATCCAAAAAGTATAAGAGATTTATTTATAAAAAGTAAGTAGACATATAGTTTATAATCCTCTATTATATATAATTTTTTATAAAATATTAGGTAAAATGCCACTTTTACAGACGTATCTAATAGTTATATAATATATTACAGTTTATATTTTTAAAATTTTACTAATAAATGCTTTTGATAATATATAAGTAAAATTTGCTTACAAATATTTAACGCCATCTATTAATTTATTAATTAAAATTAAGCGTATTATTATTCATCCCACAATGGATGTAATAAATTAGATATTATTTCTTCTCTTTTTTATGTGTTTTTAGGAAGCTATTTTCTTCTTATTCGGAATATAGATTTGAGTTAAATTTTCGATACGATTATATTTTAATATTATTACAAACTACTATTATTTTAAGATATAATATACCAACTATAGATGGTGCGACAATAATATATAAAATCTTAATTGCTTTCATGATATCACTCTGGTTCTTATTTTGTAGTTACAAAATGTTTCATTTCTAATATGGCATTTTTGTCGTGTAAATAACTCAAGGCTTCAATTTATTTGCATAATTTCTTTTAAAGGTTTTTAGTGTTTTTGTTTTATCAATTTATCTAACAGAATAAATTCTGATATGGGTTACCATCGTGAGTGCCATCGCTAGGACTGCAAATTAACCAGCATCTATTATTTGTGTGGCTATGTAATTTATGATTATTACTACAGCGGCTGAGAGCATATGATCGCATATTTTAGATAAGCAATAATGGTCAACTGTGTAGTCGTTTATATACCATTAAAAACGGAAGATAATCTTTTAGAAATTTAATATCATACAATAATTTTCTCGATTACTTATCTAGCTTCCATCATGTCATCTAAGAGGAAGCTCAACCACCATATAGTTTTTGATTTGGATTGGTGGTTTATATTCTCTTCTTCAAGAATTGTTGATTTGGTAATGTCTATAAATTTTTTTTTATTAGTCCATTCTATAAAACATTGTCTAAAATGTTAATAGAGAGTTATATTAGTTTCATAATCCCATCTAGACCATGAGCCGAATCCCGATGAAAAGATAGGATATTTTTAATAATTATATCCTTTATTTAATCCAAAAAAAATAAATGGTGTAATAATACCATCATGATATAATTAAATCGTTAGTTAAGATTTATATTTCATTTTACAAGGATTAATATCCATATTTATTTGAAGATATTTGATTTCATTTCTTTCTTGATATTCTTTTATGTGTTTTATTTATTTATATATTTCGAAATTAAGGTTTATTGCAATGGTAGGAGAGGGGCTACTAGGAGATAAACCCTCTTGCTCATTTTTCTTTATTTTTTAGCCCCATTTCTAAATTTTATAATTGAGCACCCTCCTCTCATCCGTCAAAAGATCTTTAATTTTTTTTTCAAAAGTGCTAAATATGTTCCTTTTCTAATTATTATTGTCATTAAAATTTTTAAAAATTTTAAAGTTGAAATTTTTTAATATATTTTAGCCACATAAAAGATGGAATTTATTTTCCAATATTTTTATAAAAATTTTATGTCGTAGCCGCTTCTGCTTTATTTAAGCTATAGAAAGCTCTCCATCAACAAGTAGTATTAAAAAATAGCTCCATTTTATCAGGTTTCGAGCCAGCATTAAAAAGACCAAATTTTTAATGGAAAAACTATCATTTTAGCCTCTTGAGTTTAAACCTTAAGGATAGCTCAATCTTGAAAAAATGTACTCTTGTCTCGAATCTGTGATTTTTTTTTACTATTAGGATTGAGCCGATTAACAAAGGTAAAGGAACGAAATGGTTCAGATTTAACAAAATCTCTTAAAAGTTTTCAATTTTTTAATCAAATTCTTATGTGTCCTTTTGCCAATGAACCATTTTTGATTGAAAATAAATCATTAGGAACATGTTGACAATAATAAAATATTACGTAGGCAGCGTCCACATGGAAGAAAATTTATTGGAAGCAATCCCCCTAGAAAATTACCCCTACCCTCATAAAAGAGATTTGCACCCATTATGTATAAAAATCCGAGAATGCAAATTATTCTTACACTGAGCCACTATTAATAACTTTCAAACAAACATAATTAAACACTTTCAGCCTCATGATAATCGGTACTATAATCTTATCTGTGAATGAATGAGAAGAAAAATATATATTAATAAATAAAATAATAATGTTTATTTTCCCTACCCTCCTTGGATGTCTACCCTCTAATTACACTTATATTTAAAATATACTATTAAAATGTAAGAGTAAAAATAGATAAATTTATAATTACTCTAGAAAATACACCCAGTAGGGTTAATAGATCGCTTTAAAACGAAGGTAAATAAGATTTGAATAAATTTGAATCAAATTATTTTTTAATTCAAGAATTCTAATGTATAGATAAATTGATGTGTGTTTTTCGTATTGTGTATTTTAAAATGTTTCATTTGGATGTTTTTTGATTCGTGTAGTGAACATTATTTAGTGAGGACATCGTCACGATGATATGATGTAGAAATGACATCGGCAAAGTATAATAAAAATTTTAAAAATATACTAATTTCTCTAATTTTTTCTTATGTTATGTTCTTCACAAATATATTATAAAAAATGGCATTTTTTGCTATTCATTTAAATTTTATCAAGGGATTCATATAGTTGAACACTATTTAAAGTATGAATTTATATATTTTATAAATAATTAAATTTTATATGATATATAAAAGTTTTTACATATTAAAAGAAATAAGTTTTTTAATAAATAAAAGGAATAAGTTTTTTAATAAATAAAAGAAATTTTTTATTCACTTAAAAATATTTATTTTAATCATGGCAAATAAATTATGTTAAAAAATACATGGTATTTATTTATATTAATTTAAATTTTCAAAAAAAAATATTCATAAAGTTTTGCGATCGTGAATGTCTTCCTTTTTTTAAAGGTGAACTTGAACGTGAACGTGTTCGATTATTGTCAATGAACATTGAACGCTAACGCTCGATCTTTTTAGAAATGTTTACTTCACTAAACTTAAGTCATATTTAATGAAAACCTGTTTTATTATCTATTGCTTGAATGTAAAGCTTAATAAATAATAAAAAAATAAATATAATCCATGTTGGAGAGTTCGAATTCTGTTTGTCCAACTTTGAATGTGCATAACTTTGGATCCTGTCGTTAAATTTTGATGGGATTTGCAGAAAACATTGATAATAATTTACCCGTCTCTGAATTTCTAAAATTTTATGGACTATTTTTAGAATTAACAGATTTATTGCTACATTCTTCGATTAATTTATTCCTTCATTCATTCATTCATATTTATTTATTCATTCATTCCTTTATTCATTTATTAAACTTACTCCAAAAGAGTTTTAACGTGCTCCATTTGTAACAAATGCTATATAAAATTATTCTTTTATTCGAAAAATCACATAATGTAAATAAAGTTTTAATTTAAAAAAAAATTATATTGGCAAATAAATAATACCAATATTTAATAAGTTTATAAAAATTATATAACACAACATGGGTTATAATCATAATAACTATTTTTTATGGTATGAATATTTATGGAATAATTCTTTATGTTCCTGTTTATATTTATACGGATCATAACGATAGTGCTTAAATTTGCTCTCGTGATCACCGTAGGCTTTATGCAAAGTTGCCATATAAGCAGCAGTTCCATGCGGATCT